CCCCCCCCCCCCCCCTCCTCTCTCTCTCTCTCTGTCTCTCTCTCTGTCTCTCTATTTTGTTTGTTTGGCTTGGTTTCTCTTTTAAATTGTTTTGTTTTGAGGAGGGATGTTGCAAGGGCTGAGGATGGCAGCCAGGGAACAGGGTGATAAGTAGGATCAGGATGCATAATGTGAAATCCACAAAGAATCAAGAAAAGTTAAAAGAATTTTTTTAGAAGGAAATGTCTTGAATCCGTAGCAGGTGCTCTAATGTTACTCTGGAACAGCTTCTTATTAAATTTAGTAGTACCTGGTGATAAGAGTATGTCTAGCCCAATAGTAGTTTTGTGTCTTTATAAAATGTAATTATAGAAGTATAATTAAGACTACTGTCAAAAGGTAGAGCTTACTATTGCTGGAATGATCCTGAATACTAAAATGGACATTTGATTAAATATTAAAAAAAGAAAAAAGATGCCTAGGGAATGAGCTCCGTTTCTTTAGAGGGGAAATGGCCCACTAGATGACACCAGATACAAGTTTGAAAACTTCAGATTCAAGTTTGAGCTTTCTTTTCTAGAATGTGGAAAGGAAAGAGGGAAGGGAGCTGAGGCAGGAGAAACTGGGAAATGCCCAGGAGAAGTGGGCATCTACAGCAGCAGCTTTGGGATTTGTCAGGGATGCTGGCAGCACACAGTGCAGAAGTTCTTTTCTCTCTTAGGTCCCATTTCCCACCTTTTTACTTCTACAGGAAAAGTAGCACTCTCCACGCCTCCCCATCTGTCTTAGTTATGGTTTCTACTGGTGTCATAAAGATCAGGGCCAAAAGCTGTGCACAAAACACTTGGTGGTGACAATAGCTTTAAGGATCAGACTTACCATACTGGGAGGCGGGATCTGAGATGCTTCTAAAAGCTATTGTCACTGCTGAGTGACTGCCACATGAAGATTGCCTCCTGGAGATAAGCTTGATCATGGAATCCTCCAACTAGCAAGATGGCATTCTGGGTCCTAGATGGAGGGTGATCATTGGCTGAGCTGCTTCTTGCCTGCCAGAACCGGCCACTGGGGATGGCTATTTGGAGCAATGCGTGTGGGAGGATAGGCTGAAGGAAATCAAGGAAAACATATATGTATTTCAGAGCTGTCTGGTAAGAGTTCAGCGTTAGGGACCCAAACTACCAGGGGGGAGTCAGCAGCCACATGATAGAAGGCAACAGGTTAATGTGGACACAAATATGTGAACTTGCGGGCATTTGCAGTCTTCAACTTCCACTTCCAAAGACGAATAAGCAAGTGAATCACTAGGCTAGGAGTCCAGGTTGCCAGATTAGTGTAGAAGGCTTCCATTGGTGTTCTGGGCTGCATTTGTTCCCCCATCCTCCATAGGAAAGTGATTGCATATCCTGGTCCAGCCTGCAGAATACCACTCATCCATATTAAGTAGGTTAAAGGCAGAGATAGGAGAGGGTGGTGGGAAAATAGAGAAAAGAGAATTGGGAAAGGAGAAAGAAGGACGATGGGAGATATAAGAGGGGAAAAGGAGAGAAAACAAGGAATTGAGAAAGAGGAAGAGATGCTAGAGGAAGACAAAACACAGGAGATCCGGCTGTGCCCACTGCTTTCCAAGTCCTGCACAATACCTTCCACATTTAGTTATATTTGGTTAGGAAAGAGTCTAGGCAAAGGCAATCTGATTCTTAATTAAAAAAACTCACACTTTGTCTGGCTAGGCCCCAAGAGCCAGGCTGAGTAACTAAATCAATTTAATCAATTCTGATGATACAAGCTAAATGCAAATTAAATCATTTGTTCTGGGGAGAACTGTGTAACGAGATGGTTGAGTGAGTGTATCTAGTCACTATATTTTGAGGCTTTGGGGTCCAGCCTGCTCATATTGCTCCCTATAATCCTTGTCCTGAGCCTGCACCCTCACCCACATGAGGGCCAGGGTGCCTTGTGCAATGGGCTAAGTGGTCCTGGTGTGGGATGAGGAAAAGCACCAGATACTTGGCCTTGGTGTCCAGAGTTCAGAGGAGTTAAAGAGAAGGAAAACTGGACAGGACACTCCACTCTCTTGAGAGGCCCACTAATCTCCAGCCTGATGTCATGTGGGAAAGTGGCTGCAGTATGACCAAACCATGTAAGGGTGTCCAGCCTTTCACATTGTCATATAATAGCCTTTACGACTGTGTTCGGATGCATTAACACTTATCCTGGGGTGTATGTGGCCCATGTGATTCAGGGTAGTCATGCCCATTTCACAGGAGACCAGAGACCCGTGTTCAGGCAATTCCCTTGGGCTGAGACAATGCATTTGCAGGATCTGTCTTCCCACTGGTTTAATGGACCAAACAGTTGTCTTTTGTCCAAGTTATATGCAGAAGACTAATTCCTCATCTGTGTTCCTCTCTCAGGCCATTATGTGTATGTGGATACCTCTTTTGCCAAGCAAGGGGAGAAAGCTGTGCTGCTGAGCTCTGATTTGCAGGCTGAGGAATGGAATTGCCTTCGCCTGGTCTACCAGATAACCGCACCCCTGGGCTCTGTATCACATCCCAGCCAGCTGAACCTCTACTTGAGATTTGAGGATGAAAGTTTTGATCGATTGCTTTGGTCTACTAAGGAGCCATCAGACAGCTGGCTCATAGCCAGTCTGGATCTTCAGAACAGCTCCAAGAAATTCAAGGTAGGTGGGGTTAATGAGGAAGATATGAGGTGTGTGATGTACTCTACGGTACATGATGTATTCTAACAGTGGTTCTCAACCTTCCTAAAGCTGAGACCCTTTAATACAGTTCTTCATGTTCTGGTAACTACCCAAACATAAAAATTTATTGTTGCTACTTGTTAACTAATTTTGCTACTGTTGTGAATCATAATGTAAAGATCTGGTATGCAGGATATCTGATATGCAACCCCTGTGAAATGGTCATTCAACTTCTCAAAGGGGTCTCGACCCTCAGGTTGAGAACCATTATCTTATAAAAAGTAAGTCAGTAAGGTTAGTTGCATTATAGAAAGTTAATGTAAATTAATACTTGTTTATTCCTAAGGCTAAATGGTGCTTAAGTTTATCTCTGCAGTGAAAAGGTGCTTTCAGGAGCATTTTTGTTGCCAACCGTTTTTGCTTCATCCTTCTAAATTGTTCATGAGCTATGTTGTGTTGTCTTCCTAATGGTTTGATTGCTCCAAAGTTTGAACAAAGCATTATAAAATGAGATGTTAAAATACTTTGAAAGAGAAAAGTTATTTCCCAGGCATGTTTCCTTTCCTTTTCAGAGAGGCTAATTGTTCTGTCAGCTCTGAGAGGAAGACAGAGGATATAAGAGGTGGGGTGTGGAGGGGAGCAGGGAATGAAGGCAGAGTGTGGCATGTAACAATAAGTCTTTCCTCCAAGCCACCCGAGCCCTGCAGCCACGTGGGTGCTTTCTGCCAGGCCACCCAAGTTCCGCACACTGCCACGTTATGGTCCCAAGTAACACAGAGAGACTTATATTAAGTACAAATGCTGCTTGGCCAATTACTAGGATTTCTCATCTGCTAGCTCAGCCTTAATTATCATAAATCTATATGTTTTATAAGACTTATCTTATTGGATGCCAGCAGAAGCATCCTGTCTTCCCTGGCTCACATGGTGACTCCAGAGCAGAGACCAGGAGGAAGAGAGAAGGGAAAAGAGACCACTTCCTGCTTGTCCTTGTTTAAATATGAATCAGCCTGCTATGTCACTTCCTTCCTGTATCACAAGACTTCTTTTTACTACATTTCCCAGAATCCTCCTTGACTCCTAGTCCCATCTAACTTGCCGCCTCATTGGCCAAACAGTACTTTATTTAACAATCAATAAGATAAACATACACAGAAGTACATGCCCCATCAATGGCACATATGAGAGTTTGTGTCATTGAGGACACAACAGAGCCACCAGGAGAATCCCATTCCTAATGTACTCCATTCCTAGGCTCAACCCTCTCCTTTGAAATGCTGTAAAACAGAGCATCTCAGGCTAGCCCAGCCTGTTGGGAGTCTCTTCCCACCAAGCAGCCACTAGAGCAAGAACGTCGAGTCTGAGTTCCTATTTCACCCCATCCTCCAATGGTTATCAGACCCCAAATCTACCCACACAGTTGCAAAATATCCTGCAAAAGCCACAGAAGAAAAAGTTGTTTGAGAAACGGGGCCAGATGCGAATATTCCTTGAAATCAACCGCATGGATTGTCATGCATTTATCTGTTCTTTGTATAAAATTCTCAATTTCTCATCAAAGTAGAAACTATGGATTGACTGATCCTTCCCATCTCCTGTGGAGATTTCTGACTGACAGATCTGGGCTCCCTGATTTCTCATCCAAGGATTTCCCCACACATTGCCTTTTTTTTCAACCCCTTCATCATCTGCCCTCAGTTCCTCAGCACATGCTTCCTCAGGAACACTGCTCTCCTCTCCATCCACCAATGACTGCCTCCGTGAACACAGGAGGATGTGGAAGTCAGGGTAGCATTGGAAGACTCTGAGCTCCTGTTGGACACTTTGTTCATGTCAAAGTCCTCAGTGTACATGTATATGTTCATGTATGCATGGGTACAATTACAAAAGAATCACATTCAGCAGCCATGAATCACACTGAATGACATCTCCTAAGAACTGACATATTGGACAGGAAACATGGTGTTTGATGCCTGACTCCTCCCCCCCCCATATGCTCCACAGATTTTGATAGAAGGTGTCCTGGGACAAGGAGACATGGCCAGCATTGCCCTCTTTGAAATCAAGATGACAGCCGGCTACTGTATTGGTGAGTGAATTTTGTGATCACGGTGGTGGAATGCAAATCTCTTTCCACAATCCACTGCCAGAAAGCACTAAATTGATCCTAAAGGCCAAGGATGTCATAGAGCATGCTGCAAACTGCATAGCAGCTTCTGTTCTTTGATAGGGTCACCTGAAGATGGGACATTGATCCTCAGTCTTTGGTGTGGAAAAGCTCATTAGCATCTAATCTGAACTGGTTGGATTAACAAGGAGAAGCAGTCACTTTTACTCCCAGCAAGGCTCTCTAACCTTCCCCAGTTCTAATAAAAACAATTGCTGGCTTGCTGTGAACTCTATTTTTGGTAGTCTTTGCCAGAAGAGCAAACATCCATCATCTCACCTACTTTCCTGACACATGCTACTGCTGTCTTCTCAATCATTAAAATTGCCACTTAGATGCTACCTTGTGTGGGCAGGATTGATTGTCTGCATGACAGCTTTGAGAAGGCAAGAAAGGGACAGCCTCTGCCCCATGGTACCTGACTATCCCTCATTGCCCCTGACCATAACTCTACACAATGAACACTACACAGAGGAGCTAGTATCTGTGCAGGTGCACATAGAAGAAAAGGGTTGTCTGGGGGCAAAGCTTGTAGGAGAAAGGTCCTTAACATACAGGTACAAAGGCCAGAGACAAACAGTCAGTAACCCAGAGGGAGCTTCTCTTACAGAGACTGGTCTCAGGACATGGAGCCTGGGTTTACCAGAATTATGAGGTTGGTAGGTGCTAGACTTAGACTTCAGGGGACAGGTCTGTAACTGTGGCTTTTGGATGATTCCACTGGTTTCCATGAGCTGGAGACAAGGAAAATACAAACACATAGGAGCTAGCAAACTCCCAGAAGAGACTCTGACTTTACGGGGATTACAGGATGAGGACCTTAAACCGGGGATGTGGGAGAAAGTGGAATAGTAACTTACAAAGAGCCTATGCTAATGCCCTGTGGTGCAGCTTCTCTGCTTTGATCTTTCACTGGTACCTCTAAGGCAAAGAAGGAAAGCAGATACAGCCTCCATCCAGGCTTCTCCCATGAGTAGTCTAGGTGCTGCCCCTCCATGCACAGGAACAGTCAGACACACCTGTGTAGCTCTACCGGCTGGCTCGGTCCCTCACTGCACCTCCCCAAACCCGCCCTGCTCTTGTCATCAGCAAAGGGAGCTGGTTCCTGTGAGGGTTGAGAAAAAGTGGATTTAAGGGTGGGTACTCAAGAAATGTTTGTTTCTTTCCCATAGATGATTCAGTGGCTTCTGGTTTGTTTGAAACAAAAAGGATGCCACTTAAGTGTATCTTGCCACGCCATCGCCCCTCCTTGCTCTGTGCTCACTTCTCTTGGTTCCTTGTCTGTGCAATTGGGGTAATAACAGTACCTGTTACAATAAATCTTTCTGCCAAAAATCGCAGAGCCCTACCACCACGTATGCACTTTACACCAGTCACCTGCCCGAGTTAGGGCCCAAATTAATACACAGAAACTTGTATTAGGTACAAAGCTGCTTGGCCAGTGACTAGGATTCTCATCTGTTAGCTCAGTCTTAATTATCATAAATCTATACTTACACATAAATCTTATACTTATACATAAATCTATACTTATACTATACAGTCTTAATTATCATAAATCTATCACCACTCTTGCCGGTGGCTCACATCCCGCCGCTGGAGGAGGTGAAGGGGAAAAAGACACTTCCTGTTTCTCCTTGCTTAAATATGAGTCTCCTTGCTATGTTACTTCCTGCCTGGATCACCACTTCTCTACTACATTTCCCAGAGGCCTCTTTGACTCCTAGTCCTGTCTAACTTGCTGTCTCATTGGCCAAACAGAACTTTATTTAACAATCAATAAGATGAACATACACAGTACATTCCCCATCAAGTACCTTTCTCAAGGAGCTCTGTGGGGGATTAAGTGAATTCATAGAAAAGGCTTAGACTAGTGCCTGGAATGCTGAGAAGGATTTTATTACACACTGTGGCAGCCCTTGGCACTAGATGCTGAGCATCAGTTGGCAGATACTGCAGTGGAAATTTGAAAAGAAATCTTGAGATCTGTCAGTGCTTGCTGACAACTGTACCAGCTAGGATCCTGGCAGGAAGGTGAGAACTGGATGTGGAGGTTGGGGGGGTTGGGGGGATACAGCCTTGCCTCTGTAATGTGAGGAAAGCCCATCAACATCAATGAGAACACAAAGTTGTGCAGGGTAAAGACACCAGCAGGCAATGGCACTGTGGCCAGATTAGGACCAGCCATGACTCATAAGCTGTTGTCTGGCCAGCCAATGGGACAAGAGAAGAAGAATTACTAACAGCTGGAAACAGTGGCTGCATGGTCAAGACTGCTTCTGGCCAGGCTGTTTCTTCTATAAAGGGACATAGCTCACCATGGCAACCTGGCAGTGATGGAGCTGGCCACTGGCACTGATGTCACCTTCCTTCACCTCCCTTTGGCTCCATCCACCAGTAAGAAGGTGGATGGAGCAATAGAGTCGAACAGGAAGGACATCATCCTTCATTCTGTAATTGCAGGATTATGGTGTCATCGGCTGGATTGGGCTTATAAACTCCCTGTTCCCAATGAAAGATTTTGTTAATGGGGAACAATTTATAGCAAACTTGTCAATGCACCCAAGTGCAAAGGTTCTACTTCTGTATTTCTCATCTCTAGTCAGGAGATGCAGGAGGGCTATGGGCCAGGTGTGTGCCTGTCCCAACTATTCTGACTAGATTCTTATTTAGAAAGTATGGGGGGGTTAGCATCTTAGAAACATGAGTTCTGGGAATCTTGTTCATCATAAAGAGATGGAGGACAGGGTCAGCAGGCAACAGAAAGGGTGCTTCAGAAAATATTTAGAGCTGAGGGAATAACCCTAAAATGGCACACTAAAATATAGTGGAGCTGGGAACATAGGTCAGTGGCAAAGTGCTTAACATGTGCAAGACAAAAATCATCAGCTTATATCAAACATGGGCCATATGCCTGGTGCTCTGGTGCTGCCTGCCCATGCCTACAGTATGTTGTCTCCAATTCACACAACAAGAAACAGACTCCGAGATGGCGGGTCCCACAACATGGCTAATGGGAGAAAAAGGCTGTGGTTCAGAGGGGCAATGATGATGCAGGGCATCGACTCATTGCTGCACCTCTCTTCTTGACCAATATTGTTCAGAATTTCTGGTCCACAGGCCCCCATGATTGAGGAAGAGAGCCCTCAGATGGCTATGGGCAGACTCTGCAGAGAATGTGGGTGTTCCCAGGTGTGGCTGCAGGCCCATGAAATATTTATCTATTCCTCTTCCTCCAGAATGTGACTTTGAAGAAAATCATCTCTGTGGCTTTGTGAACCGATGGAATCCCAACGTGAACTGGTTTGTTGGAGGAGGAACTATGAAGAACACCCACTCCATCCTCCCACAGGATCACACGTTCAGGAGTGAGCAGGGTGAGCTGGCCACAAATGCAGCCTTCTTCCTGAGCTAACCTTGCCTTCAATTCCCACATCCTGGCTTTTGACAACAGAAGAAGGGGTGGGGAATCACACTGGGAGACCCAGTGAAAGAGAAAGAAAGGAATGAAAGGAGGGAAGGAGGGAGAGAGGGAGGAAGGAAGGAAGGAAGGAAGGAAGGAAGGAAGGAAGGAAGGAAGGAAGGAAGGATAATCTGGGAGACAGAGACAACTGCAGACATGAGCTCATAGTTAAGAAAGCCATAAACGCAAAGATTTTAGCTCATCTCTAACCTTGGATGTTTTTACATGTCAGTGGAATGTTACACTTCTTATCTATTGGTTGTATTCTTATTTCTAAAGACAAGGCTGGGATAATCCCGATCTTCATTAGAAATTGCAGGTTGGCAAGTCCTTAAGAATTTCCCAGGAGACCATCAATGCTAATGATTTTATGTATGAAGGGTGCAACAGGGCCCCCTGGTGGTCAAGTACGCTCTGCAAGGAAAATGCAGAGAGGAGACTCTTGGTGATGGAGCAAGAGAAAGCCTCTGGAAGGGAAACTAGGGCAACTGTGAGCTTCCTTGTGTCTTACTGGTCACACCTGGTCCCTGGTTTCTCCTTAACTACAAGACATCCAGCCCTCAACTCTATGACCTTTTCTAAGTATTGAGAAAATTCTGACTTTCCCTCAAGAGCAAAAGTAAGAAATTTGGATCTTTTCCTTTTCACTATTGACACATCCTAGTAGATAGTGAAGGGTCCATTTGGTCTGGTTAAATCTCTCATGATGACAGCATGGACTCTTGCCTCGACACATGACAACTGTTTGTGGTTCCTTACTGTCCTTCATTGACCTCAGATTCTTGTCATCTAAATGCTTAAAAGTATGTCTTTAACTTTGCTTCCAGTGTATCCATTCTGCAGGTCACCTGGGCTCTGGAGTCCACATCTTGACATCATCTTGACATCACTGTTCTCTTTGTTCATACTCTGCCTCCTCCACTGTATCCAGAGTCTCAGACTTTGTTTCCCATAAGGGCCGAGCAGACTGTGGCTAGCTAGACAGTTGAGACATACAGAGTAGATAGATCTGATTGTGTTCTATCAGGATGTGAGCCCACTTCACAAGATCTTCTTTTTCCCTTAAAATAAGCAGGAATAAAGGGGTTGTTTTTGAAATTTCTCTAATAGGTGAAAATTGGTGGATATTTTCTAAACAAAATAAAGAAAAATACTACATGGGCTGGCAAAAGGTTAGCTAGCTCCTATATTTCAGCCTCTACTTTACAGGGTTTTTTTTTTCCTTTTCAACATGTCCAGGCTACTTACAGCTATGCATGCACATGGATGGGGCTTGTCTCCTTAAGATAAATCCAACTTTGCATCTAGCATTTTCATTCATTTGATCTTGAATTGGGTACAATGAAGAAAAGGACAACTGAAATGACAAGCCACCAGGCTGCTTCCAAACCTCAAGGAGTATGTCCAGGAAAGAGAACCCCATTCTCTCACAAGATCACATATGTCAAATATTATCAGAATTATCCTCTTCCCCTAAAAAAAAAGAAAGGAGATAAATATTCAGAGATAAAAGGACACTTGTCTAGGTGACTGTCCAGCAGATGTCTCTGTCAGATCTAGCATGCATATTTTACTATGTTAATGTTTAAACCTTTCTTTTATTTAGACAGAAAAGAGGAGATGATGGGGGAGGTCCTTCTGTGTATATGTTTGTTTTATTGGTTGATAAAGCACTGTTGGCCAATAGGGAAGCAAGTTAGGCGGGACCAGGACAGGAGGAGAATTCTGGGAAATGTAGGAAAAGGAGAGAGTCGCCATGTGATCCCCGGAAGAGAGGATGCATAAGGCCAGCATCCTCAGTAAGATAAGTCCTTATAAAAATATATAGATTAGTAGTTATAGTTGATAATTAAGACTAAACTAACAAATGAGAAATCCTAGTCATTGGCCAGCAGCACTGTAACTAATATAAGACTCTGTGTGTTATTTGGGGGCCCTAAAGCCATGGCAGAACCAAGGCAGCTGGCAGAAAAAGTTATCGTTACACACTTGTAAGTACTCAGAGTTAAAAGCAAAGTGCTAGATATCCAGAGATAAAGGAACCATTGTAAGTCATGACAAATGTAGGGGAGGTGTGGATTTACAGTGAGAGGAGAGAGAAGCAATGATGCTGTAAATAGCTGCGCCAACTACAAGAAGTTAAGGAGAGAAGGGTGGGATGGGGTGAAAAAGCAATGTATAGGCAAATTCGAAAAAGCTTGAATGCAAGAGGTGAATTCAACTTCACTGACAATGGAAAGCCAACAGAGGTCTTTGAACCCGGGGTGAGACAATGTCGTACAATGGCTATATCACCCTAAAGCTGATTGTCCTGCTAGATAGAGGACAAAAACGCAGAATAAGAGAATAAATTAATACCCCAGTAGCTCTTTAGATAGAATTAGGGTCAGTCATAGAAGGAACTATGACAGGAAAAACGTTTTCACTTCCTAATTTTAAAAGAAAGAATTAGTGCTTTTGGTAGTATTGAGAGCTGAAATTCTATGCCTGACCTATATTTGAACCAGAATCAACTAGTGAGGCCACAGAATCCACACTAGTAATGAGGGTTATATGCAGAGTGAATGGTGGCCAGTGGTAGCATGGCCATGAATCTGCACGAGTATTATAAAAGAGAGGTTAACTTCGAACAATAAAATGTCAGCACCACTCAAAACCTGTGTTTAAATGAATAAAAAAATGCTAACAATCTCTTGGAGTTTCATAAGAGAAAATCCAGGTGACTTTCTCCTTACCCGTGGAGCCAGGCTAGCTTGGTGACTGTTCTTCTGTTGTATCTTATAAATCAAGTGCAGAGAATGGTAGGGAGTTGAAGCTGTAGTCATCATGGGTCTCTGTTTCACAGTTACACAGAGGTTCAACTGTGGGCAAGCACTAGGGAGATTTCCCAAGCCACTCAAAAATTAGTTCATGGTCTTCTGATGGCATATTCACAGTACCCCTGTCATCCTCATTGCTGCTGAGAGTCAACTGGCTGGAGGGATCGGGGAATTCTCAGGAGAGGCAAGACCAGCCTATGGACTAGTATCAGACTGTTTATGTGTCTGTATTTCCTGAATGCTGTCTCTCCTTAAAAGGGTATAATCTACAGTGCTTCCTCGGTGGCCACAGACCACTCTGGCCATATTGGGTCAGTGAAGGGTAGAGAATGAGGCAGATCAGGAGTCCCAGTGCTTGTTTTCAGTTATCAAAGAGCTGGTTTCCTGGAGCAACCCCTCAGCTTCTCAGAGTCACCATTAACCTATTTGCAGGTGAGGAAGGGATTTGCATTTAGTAACCTTTAAGATAACTTTTGCATTGCGATATTTTATGCCTGGTGCTGCACATTAAAATCCCTGATTTCAGCACCCATTGAGATCTATTTCCGAACTGTGTGGGAGCCTCCTGAATACTTACAAGCACACTGTAGTTGGCACCAGAGAAATAAAGAAAGAAAGAGAGAGAGAGAGAGAAGAAAAGAAAAAAAGAAAAGGAGGATGAAAGGTACCAAGGGCCTGGTTTTAGTGGTGTCTTGACCATAAGGTAAAGAGAAAAGGACTACAGTGTAGTCATTCTTGAAGGCCACCATGCCCTGCTGATGGGGAGGTCATCGTGGCGACTGCACTCGCCTCTGCCCTCTGTTCACTCTGCCCCATTTCCTCCTCTCTATTTTCTAACCCTTTCCACTTCCTCTGGCTGTTTCTAAAATATTCCCTAAAGGCAAGCAGCTTTGCCCGCTAGCGTTGCTGGGTACCCCTCAAATCAATATGGAAAGTTAAAAAGGCATCAGACACTATGTCTGAAGGTGGAAAGTCTACAGAAAGCTTACACCTTGCTGCCAGCGAACCACCAGCTGACCACCAGGAAGCGGCTTCTTCATTGACCTCTCCTGTCATATAGTCACCGTGTGCTCATTATATATACATTGTAAACAACACACACATGCACATATATATAAAGCATTCTTGCATGCTGTGGTGATATGAAAAGTCATGAACTTTAAAGAGATCTTGTCTAAAAATGTCCTTCCCCAGAACAGTAGTTTGGGGACATATTTCCTTAGTTTCTTTCCTGTTGATGTGAAATACTCTGACAAAGCAACTTAAGATACAAAGGGTTTATTTAGTTCATAGTTCATCGTTTAGTCCATTATCAAAGGGGAAGTCACACTGGCAGGAGCTTGATGTAGTCATTGACAGTGCTTCCTCAGTAAAGAAACAGAGAACAAGGGGTGAATGTGACCTTTGGTGAGAGGGTCTCCCCACTTTAATTAATATCATCAAGCTAAAGCCCCCACAGACCCATCCAAACGCTCATCTTCAAGATGTTTCTAAAATCTGCCAAGATAACAATTCACACTTACCAGTTCAATTCCACTGCTTGGCAACTTGACACCCAAACATTCATCCTTTGTCCCTATAGACTCAAGACTACATTATGCTATAAAATGCATTCAGTCCAACTTTAAACAACCCCAAACCTCTCAATAGTTCCACCACTGTCAAAAAAATGTTCCTTAACTGTGAACCCCTATAAAATTAAAAAAAAAAAACAGTTACACACTTGCAACATATCATGGCACAGAGAAAGCATTCCCATTCCAAATGGAAAACAAGGCATAACCAGAAACAATCAAATTAAAACAAACCCAAAATCCATTAGGCAGCCCCACTCCTCTAACTCTGCTACTTCAGCATATGTAAAGCCTCTCTTAGATGGACTGTACTCGTTTATAAACTCCCGTAAAGCCACTCCTTATACTTAGGATAGGGCATTAAAAAAGAAATGAGTTCTAAAGAATCTAAAATATTTACCTAAAGAGTTCTGCCCACATGATGCAAAGGTTTTCCCAGTGTGACTCTTGCAGAAAAATAAAACTACCAACACTCTAAAGAAAATAGAGATTGTCTTTCTTATTTCATTTGCCTTCTATTG